TCTTGATTCAATCTGTAGATTCTAGCATTATTTTTCTTCTGTCCATAGGTTTTAGACACTTTTTCCCAAATCTTGGCTGCTGTGGGAAAGTGTTGAACAGTCCTGGCAACTCGTGGAGTCATAGAGGCAAGCAGCCAGGACATAACTGTGGCATTCTCCTTGCACCACACTGCATACTCCGCACTGCCAACTTCAGGTTCCTTCTTACTCCCATCTAAGTAGCCAGTGAGATCAAGTAATAAAAAGCATTGCAGAAACGGACCACTCCCTGAAGTTGTATTCATCCAGCAACACACTTGTAATCTGCAAGCTATGCAGATTCGGGTTTTCCAGATTTGAAAACCTCCCACCAGGTCTGATATCCCTAGAAGAGACCTCTCCAGATATTGAAGACATCTTGGCTGCAGACTCTGTGTAGATAGCACTGTTTCAGACTAGCCTAAGTGTTCACAGTGCTGAAAAAAGACTAGTTGCAGTATTGAAGAAGGTTCCGACAGCTCGCAACACTGGTTCAGACTTGCCGAGACTGTCACAGTTCTGAAGTAGTTCAGTTACAGCAGCGAATAAGGTGTTCTGTGAGCCGGTAACCGACCTGAAGCTGAGAGCTCTCCACCACTGCACTATGCGGACTTCTCTTGGGCTTCGATTACTGCAACTGTAGAGAGTGTTCCCCCCTACGGCCAATACTAGGACTGCTGAAATCAGTCCTCAGTCTAGATCTGTCCTATACAGACCTCTCTTAGCAGCCGAATGGCTACTCACTACTAGAAACAGTCTAGTAGGACATCAACTTCTGGGTCTTACTTCCCTTGCGCCCTACAACCAAGGGAAACCCTAGGTTCGAACCTTGTATTGTTCTCCTGCAACCCTAGGGTTTCACCACAGCAACCAAGATAAAAAAAAAGAAAGAAAGACAGCAAGAGAGAGGAGATGGCGTCGGTTGTAACCAGGAAATTGCTTAATGCTCTGATACCATGTAATAAGCTGAAATGATGTAGCCGAAGTAGTAGAAGAGAGGAGGAGACCAAGAGGTGCTGAGAATGTCGAACTGCATAACCTAGTCGACAGTACTATCATTTATATTAGATTACAGTACAATGTTACAGGAAATGTCTGGAATGCCCCTGATTAGTGATGGGACACCCAAACTACTTAAAACACCAAATAAACTTAGGCCCAGTACATAACAACTTAAACACAAATACAGGCTAATAAGAACACTTATCAGCCGAACCATCAATACATAAAACCCTTCAACCTAGCATGAATCAAGTTGCATTGGTTTAAGAGTTATCTTCTTATTGTCTTTCACAAAGCTTTATGTGTTCTTGTCCTCATAATGAATGGTCCTATAGTCATACTACCATGGGTATCCTAAAAGAATATGGCATGTATCCATTGGGAAAGAATCACACCACACTTATTCTTTAAATGTATTACCAATAGAGAAATTAACAATACATTTAGAAGAAATTTTTACCTCATTTCCTTTGTTGAGCCACAAAATGCGATATGGTCAGGGGTGTTGAATAGTCTTGATCTGCAATTTATCCACCATCTCTTGAGAAACAAGATTCTCACTACTCCATTGTCAATAATCAGGTTGCAAAACTTCCTACTAGCTATACGTGTTCTAAAGATATTCTTTCTCAACCAGTCCCCAGGTAGTGGTTCTTAAAGTGCAACCATGGAGGGTCATATCACTAGAGCTTCACCGGTTCACCCCTAAAGTCCCCATCCAAGTTTTTTTCCTCTAAAGCATTAGCTTTAGTAGGTTCAGCCACTTGTCCATCCTCAACATGCCGTATATCATCTTGTTGTTCATCAATGATTTCATCAACCAAATGTATTTGCCCTTAAATCCTTCTCTTAAGACATACATTGGAACAATGTCCTAACTCCACCCTGGAACATCTAATAGTAGGCTGCCCTTGATTGCTCTTTGTTGCATTTGAGGTCTCTTGGACTGTAGGTCATATGGTTAATCACACAACCCCTACTAGCCCCAACACTTCAACCTGCTAATGAAGATGTATGTACCTTGGACAGACTCAGATGAGCTTCAACCTTCAGAGCTAACTAATATGCATCCTTTACCTTAGACAAGCAATGTAGGCTGGCTTGATCTTGTATTGGCAACCTCAAGTAATTGATATATTTACTACCTTTTTGTTGTTCAGTTTCTGTCATATTACTTCGAAGAGTTAATCTATTAAACTCTATTGTGTACTCCTTTACATTCTCTTCCGTTGTCTTAAATTTTGCACGTTTTGGTAAAGAGTTTGGTCATAATCTGGTGGTAAGAGTTGTGATTATAGCTTCTCTTTAATTCTTCCCCAAGAACTAACCTTTCTTTTCCCTTCTTTTCTCCGTCTCTTTGGTAACTTTTCCGAAAATCCAAGGCTATCCCACACATTTTTGCTATTACAAGCTTCACTTGCTACGTCACCATCCCTAGCAGCATTTTGAGCTACAAGTTGGAAAACCTGTTATAGCCTCTTGGAAAGCCTCTATAGTGACAGGTTGTGATCTTCTACCATGCCTACCACGTCCACCCCGTGCAGCCATAGTAATATAGAAAAACACAACAAGGAGATGCACTTTGAAGCAATCCCATGGAAAGAACTTGCTCTATTACCACTTGATGTGGACAGAAAAACAAATTATATGCAGCACTCCAAGTGTATAGCAATAAGCACAAAAAATACCAAGCTAAACACAACAAAACAAATTCGATTTTTAAGGATTTCAAAATTGATTCTGATTTTTGAAGTAGAACTCCTCCTGGAATAGTTCAGCTGTAGTAATAATGGCATCAAGCTGGCCTCTCACGTGGGCACACAGCGATAGAGGGATTGGAAGGAGTCAAAATGGGTTGACTCCCCAAAACCCAAATTCCCAATACTTGAAAACCCTAGTTGGGGCTGATCTACAACTAAAACAAGAGAAAAATAACCAAAGACCCCTACAGAAACAACCCCCTTCTCTTTTATAAGACTCGATGGATTGCTAGAGAAGCCGATTAAAATATTTACACATAAGCCCCTAGAATGTTTCCCTTTCACAAACAACTCCTTATGCTGTGTTTGGTTGCAATGCAAATTTATTTGCACTGATGCAATACCATGGTAGCGCAAATGTTTTTGGTGCAAATTATGATTTATTTTTATTTCAAAATTTCCCTTATTTTGTTTGATTGCATTAAAAACCAAGTAAAATAAGACCTGAAATAGAATAAAGTAAAACCCAAAACAAAACTTAACCAGAATTTTCATTCTTTTCATTTGCACTCCCATGCATTTGTACTAATGCACATAAAATTGTACTGCAACCAAACACAACCTTAAGAACAAAACTAACTTCAAACAAACCCCAAAAGATAACTTTTGTTACAAAAAGGACCCAAGAGACCAAAACACAATAGATATGCACTCAACTGCCCCCGAACGGTATCTAAATTATTAAAATGACAAAAATACCCCTGTACCCAAACTGTCAATAAAGATACTAAAAAACAACAATTTGGGATCCTACTGCAAAAAAAAAAAACATACAAATACAGAATACATTCACATTTCTATCTTTTTTCCTTCTTTTCCTCTTTTCTTGGGTTCATCAGTAAAGAGAATAGAAAATGGATGGCAGATATTTTGGCAAAACAAAGGGTGTACAGGGATCAACTTTTTTGGGCAGATCTATGAAAGGGGCTCTAAACTTCGAAAAGTTATCTTTAATTTTCCTTTGTATCAGAAATATATTGTAATGTTTTCTTCTAAAGTTAATGACTTAATTTACTGATTACTGATCAGAAAAACCAAAATAATATTGTTACATTGGTTACAATGATACCAACTTAGTGGTTGATAGCTGGTTAGGAAAGGTGTAGAGAGTAGTTAAATTGGGGTCTGGATCTGTTGGTTTAGATCCATTTGGGTATCTTCAGTTTCTTGTTTTATTGTTTGAGTAATTGGCTGATTGTTTGGTCCCTTGGGTTTCATCCTTCAATGTTTTCAAGGATTTAAAATTTTCTTGTACTATCTTTTTTTGCTTCTTGATTTCTAGTAGTCTTTTTAACCAACAAAGTAGAATTTAGAGAATCTAGACTACGGAAACTTACAGCTAGAAAGGTTTCTAATCACCATAAAGTAGTTCCTTTTATTGACACAAGAATTACATAATGTTGCAAATTTGCAACTTGCAACTTTGCAACTTTGCAACACCCTAGTGCGATAGATCATCATTAGAGCCTCTGCAGAACCAAATAAAAGGAGCCTAGACAATATTAGAGCAAAGTACACAAAAAATAGACAGTATGTCCATAATGGTCACTCAAATAAAACTCATGGAAATATTGGACAAAGAGGTAGAAATAGGCTCCAAGTTGAAATAACCAAAATAAACTGAACCATACCTTGGAAGGCGAGGATCAGTAAGACGTCTCTCCCGTAACTCTTCCATTGATAGTAGCTGCAGACAATCATTGAATTCAAATATCAAAGCAGATAACTGATAGAACTCTTTAAATAAAATGATCAAATTTTAGTTTCAGTATCGTTTTTTTTGGAAATTAAACCTGGCTTTTTCTTTTTCTTTTTCTTTTTTCTTTATGATGGTAGGTATTAGACAACAGGTTTCAGCAGCTAAACCATGACTAGGCTCTTAAGCTTTTGTTTTTTTTTTTTTCTTGAGTTATTTAATGATCTGGAATGTTTTAGCAGTCTCAGTGGATCCTAAGTTGAAGGTGACTAGAACAAGGCAATTCATCTAAGTAATCTAATCCTTGATCCTTGCTTAAATCTCTTTTCTCGGAAGTTCCAAAATCAGCTAAAGTGAACTTTCTTGTGCCAGATGTGTCAGCTAAAAGAACTTTGTTGTGCCAGATGTGTACATTGGTTAATTTGGACAATTTTGTATATGTTTGCTTTAAGTACATAGCTCTTGTGGCTGTACTCTCACTTTTCTTGTATCTTTACTTCACAATAAACTCTTTTTTTTATTGATTAAATGAAAATCAAATTATAGTTACCATATCTGGATCAGGCACCAATGGCATTGCAACTTCCTGGTGTTCAAACCCTTTTTCTTCCTTCTGCAATATAAATTTTGCAAGATGCAAGTATGTCAGATTCTGGCTTGCATATGTAAAAATATGTCAAGTTTATTCCCATCAAAATTAGTTTCCTTTTTGCCCATATACATTTGAAGCTAGCATTGGCATGCATAAACTATCCTGAATAAGGACTACATTCTTTACCTAATAAAAAATGGCCATTACCCAATCTTGGTCCCACCTATCTGGGGTCTTGGGAGGGATAGATTAAATATGGTCCTAACTTTCAGCATTATTTTTTTCTTTTTTTCTTTTGCAAAAACTGGCTGCTCTCAGACTCAAAGCTGCACTCTCACACTTGCCAACCCATGATTTTACCATTTCACCAAATCATGGCCCAAGATTTCTCCACCTGCGTATACACTGATATGCTCTTTTAAGCTATAAAAGCAAAGCTATCTTTATATTATTCTTATACTATTGTAAATAACTGAATTTTTTATAACTGAGAGGTAATTAGATGAGGATCATAAGAAGTCCCCTTTACACACCTTTGGGATGTTAGGGCATGGGTTATAAGTACCATATTCTCCTAATTTCTTTAACCTTTTTCTTAATTTAAGAGAAGCAAGAAAATTTTGGTTAATTTATCTTTTGTCTGTAGGGCCTGACTGTTGGCAAATGTCCATAGGTCCAAGTTATGGTCTATTTGAAGTTTCACAATAGTTTCAGAAATTTAATTACAGAAGTTAATGTTTTTCTCTTACTTTTACTTGCAGTGAAATTTTGTAATTTCAGCTATAGTGCTGTAACTCCAAGGGTAAAGTTTGTATATACAGGTACATCTGTGTATATTTGTTACAGGAGAAACATTCTATAGCCCTATTACTACTATAAGTATGATAGTACCTAGCTTAATGTTTTTCTCCTTATTTTTACTTGCAGTGGAATTTTGTAATTTCAGCTATAGTGCTGTAATTCCAAGGGTAAAGTTGTATATACAGGTGCCTCTGTGTATATTTGTTACAGAAGAAACGTTCTATAGCCCTAGTACTACTACAAGTATGATAGTACCTAGTTTATTTGAGATAACTAGTTGAAATCTTTTCTTCCAGCTCAAGATGTAACAAAGTCAATGGCAGCTCCCTTGGTAATCCAGTAATTCAGGGATAGGTAGAGCTTCAGTAAAATATGTTTTTTCACAACCAGTTGGGTTTGGTATTGCAATCTAAGAAGATAGTGCTAACACTGCTACAAAGACTAACTCATGCATTTGCTCGAATGTCAGAGATTGGATATAGAAGATGATTCTGAAGTTGATATTGGGTGGATTAATGGAGAGGAAGAGGGTCCTTGGCAGATGAGTCACCTTACCAGAGAAGCTAAGTTTCTTGTTTCCTCGCTGAATATCTCATTCACTTGGATCAGGAGATGAGCAAAATGAGTTGGCTGACAATCTAGACAGATTTTTTTGGTAATAAATAAAACGAAAAAAGTTTTATTACAAAAAGAATAAGATACAAAAAAGTTATAAGAAATCACCAACAAGATTTTGAGAACCAAAACCCACATCAGCAAAACAGAATAGCACTACCGCAGACCAGAACAATTCATAACCCATCATCCCCCCTTAAGAATTCCAAATCAACAACCATAATAACTTTCACCATTCAGGCCTCCCTTTAGACCTTTATTCAACCAAAGGATATCTCTTTTCCAAATTGCAGAATATTTTTCTCACAAAATCTTCCCCTCCTAAAACATATAACCCTGAGAACTTGCTTACTTGGACTTTTTTTCCAGTATCCTTTCCAACTCCACATTCTCTTCTATCTTTCTGACTTTATCAACAATTTCACCCTCACCTTCCTTCTCTTTTTCAGACTTCTCTTCCCCTGAATCATGCTCCCGTCCCATCTTCTCTTCTTCTCTCTTCTAAGTATCTTCTGTTTGGGCTTTAGGAAAAGACCCCAGATCCTTTTCCCCACCTCAAACTTCAGCAAGCAAATTGCTGCTTCCAGTTGATTTCTGACAGTCTACCCAGATCAGGGGTAAATAGGGAAAGGTTTTACTGGGGGAGATTCAAACCTTAAGAAGTGAAGAGGAGTGTTTCTTTAAGGGAATGTCTTCTGGGAAGATCCTGTCCAGAAGATCTTTTTTCTTGTTTTCATGTTTCACTTTTAATAGCTGCCAGATTTTGGATATTGTCTCAGTAAAAAACAAATCAAAGCTACTTGAATAAGATACTGCTGCCCTTCCTCCCAGTTTCTAGGAGATAAAAACATGTTCAATCTTGTAAGAATTGTTGGAGACTCACCACTGGACCAGGCAAAATTTTTATCACTTAATGGAGGATCAATAAGACCATTTTTTGAAAGGATTTTTGGCTCTGACAACCCCTGAACTTTGCTCTAGGCTGTGCAACTTAGTAGCTTAGGATGAGGGAGGTGCTTGCGAACCCGACAAATGAGGCTCATGTTAATCATAGGGTGTGGGGGAGGAGCTTGGTTGGTCGATTTGTTAATTCTGATCCAGACACGGAAGAGGTTAGGGAGTGGGCTGTTGCTGTATGGCGCCCAAGAAAGTCTCTGCAAGTAAGGAAACTAAATGCTGGATTCTTCCTCTTTGCATTTGATAGTGTGGTGGAGGTGAAGCTTATTCTGGAGCAAGAGACAAAGGAGGTGCGATCTTTGGAACTTAGAATCGGGAGGTGGTTTCCCCTGGTTGGTGCTATCAGAGATGTGGGTTTGTCAAGCTTGGTCTGGATTATAATTTTCGGTATTCCTTTACATGCTTCGAGTTTTCCTACGTTCAAAGCTGTGTGGGATGCTTGTGGAAGATTTATGTGTGGAAGCAAAAACAATTTCATGGAGGAATTTGAATGTTGTGCGAATTCTGGTGGAAGTTGTAGAGATCCAGGCAGTGCCAAACATTGTTATCTTTCTGCTTTGTTGGGGAGAGGTATGAATTAAGACTTGACATTGAAGGGACCTATCCCTTAAGGTGGGAGGATAGCTTCGAAGAGTGGAGGGAGTTCAGCTGCAAGAGAGCTCAGTGTTCTGACAATGACAGTGAGAAGCCAAATGGACAGGCAGTGGTAGGAAGAACAGAGGAAGAAGGTGAAGGTATTTTTCGTATTTTAGGGAAAAACAATGGGGAAGGCTCGATGGGTCATAATGAAACTGGAACTCATAAGAATTCAAAGAGCCGGGGAGTGTGTAGGGCCCAGCTGAAGTTGGATAACTTAACCGAAAGGGAGGGTTAGATTGTTTTAGTGGGCTGCAAAGATAATGTGGAGAAAGGGGAGGTGGAACACATGGACAGCCTTAATGAGAAGTCGGTGGATTTTAAAGAGGAGTTTAAGACTGCTGGGCTCAATGAAGACTCGACTTGGGCCCAGGTCATGAAAGTTGATAATAATGATATGTAGGCCATTCGGTCTAGGAAGGGCAAAGAAGACAAAAGAAGGCTTCTAGGTTTAAGGTATGGGACATTGGGAAGAGGATGTTCGTCTAAGGTAATAAAGGAACTGACTCGCCAGAAAGATGTATTTGGGTGATTGCCGAGTATGACAGGAGTGGTAAGAAGAGGATTGTCAGAAGAACAGGTGAGGATTTCATTGTTCGCCATTCTTCTCCCACTGATGGCGATTCTTGCTTCAGCTCTCAAACTATTAAAGTTCCCATGGTGGTTTGCTCTACTGCTGATTATGCTGAGGATGTTGGTGCGGTGTCTCAAGAAGTCAGGTATGATACAAGCCAGGAGGATGTGTTCGTGGAAGAAGATAGACGTGATGTTTTGTGCAAGTAGTGGTGCGTCTCTGGTGAAGGGTCAGGTCGGGGGTTCTCAAGGATATGGAGCTTTTGGGGTTCTTTTGTCTTTGTTTTAGTCCAGTATGTTGTGTCTTTCTGTTTATTGAGTCTTGATGTAATTTTGTTTTGTTGAGGGGATCGTGAGGTCTATAGTTTGGTTTCACTGGTTATGTCCCTCTCTCCAGTGATATCTTATCACCTTTCTTCTGTACTCTGTTTTCTTTTTAACGAAAACTTCCCTTTATTCTTTAAAAAAAAGCTAATTAAGGTAAAAAGTAAATCAAGGTACTGTTAATTAAGTAAATTAAGATAAGTAAATAAAGTAAGAAAATTAGTTTAATTAAGCAATTTGAGTTACTAAGTTAATTAAGTAAATTAAGTGATTGTACTTATTATTAGTTACACTAACTAAGTTAGTGTTTAAGTCTAATTTACTCTTAATTGTTGTTAATTATTTACTGTTAAATTAATTATAGTTAATTTAATGACTCTAATTTGATAAAATCCTTGAAGTAATTTACTTCAAGGTTAATAAAATTTATTTTTTAACTCAGATTTTTTAACATCTAAAGTGGCCTTTTCAAACTTTAGGGTCTAAAATAGCCTTTTCAAACTTGAGCAGTGCCACATAAGCAAGCTTTTATTATTTTATTCATTGTCTGACGGATCCATCGACAACATCTCTAACATCATTTGTTTTTTATCTTAAAGTGGTCTTTCTATCAGAGTTTGAGGGCAAAAATGGCCCGTTTAATTCTTTAGGGTCTAAAGTGACTTTTTTTGCAAAGCTCAAGGGTTATCAGAGACAAAAATCCTTTATTTGAAATGAAATCAGTAAACCTTCTCATTGCACTGTCACACTATTCTCCCTCCCTTCATCTCAGTTGATCTTCTAACCACTTTAATATGGTGTTGCATGGACTCCCCTAAATGGATGAAGAGCCTGTGTTGGAAAACGTGTTGAATTCCAACACTCCATGGATTCTTGAAGGACACTTTTATGTGAAAATTTTCTCCTTGCTTATTCAACATAAATGAACAGCTCATGTATACAATGAATATTATTTTCCCTATATAAAATGTTATTAACAAAAGATAATTATTTAAACATTTTCTATAGGTTTATAATGTTAAAATTCAACAAAATATGGACTACTTTAATAGTTTATCCTTTTATATAAATGCATCTGTGAGTCCTTGCTTTTTCACCTTGCCGAATCAGACTCCAGGACATGTGTCACATTCTGATTCATCTGTCCATGTCCATGTAAGTAATATTTCAGTCAAAGTCCCAACCCCACCCCCAACAAACACTAAGGCATACCCCAATTCCTAACAACTCTACCCAAAATTCCCACTTTCAAATAACAGACAAAAATCATGTATGGTTCTGGAGATATAAATCATAATAGAAAAGTTAGGTCCAAAATAAGTTATAGGTGGCAAAATGCATAAAGGGAAATATAGAGGAAAGAAATTAAAGAAATCCAGTTGAACTAGTATACTTTCCTCAAGGACATCAAAACAAACAAAAGTAAAATACGTTATACAAATAGCACATTCCTTGACTCACAAAAAAGGTCTCCAAACATGTTGGCAGAACCAATATGGAAGTGAAAAACATTGATGAAGTGCATTACTTGGAATGAAGCAAGCAAAGTGAATATGACACTTCCTCGTTGTGTCGCATCAACTCGCCTGGTGGCAAAGCTATTCCCATCGCGTAAACGATGAACCTGATATATAATTGGCACTGCAGAGTACATTTCATATACTAAATAACAATACAGATGTTATGCAGCCCAACAGACAAGATATTTTACCTTGGAAACTGTAGTAAATTTAGGCAAATTAGAACAAATTGTAACACTAAAGAAACAAAAACATTCCCAGCTGAAAACACAGGATGTGTGACTGAATGTTGAGTACTAAACTATGGTAGAAAAGGGAAATTTGAATGTAACTTTAAACATATGGATGCATGGGCTCTGGCACTAAAATTGTCATAATCTCATTTCTTGTCAAGTAGATAAAAGCATGAAGTGCTCCTTCAAAAGAAATAAATGAGTGTACATCTCATGCTGGAAATCTATACAAGTTATCTGTTTAAGTGGTGCAGCCCAAACTCCTGTCAGACAACCCAATGGCCCTTATTGAATGCTCCCCAGTTTTATTTTTCCCAAGGTGGTAATGTTACCAGCTGGTATAAAAATGTCATGGAAGATGAAAAGTGATAATGAATAGTTGCTACTACTTAGAAGGATGACCAGTATTTGCCATATGTGCAACAAGGTTGAAGAAGACACAAGATTTTTTCTTCTTGCAAGTTTACCAAGTACATTTGGGATTCCTTCTCTTGTTGCTTAAAAACAAATGTTCAGGCTGGTACATCCTTATGAAATATTTTCTCCAGACCATCTTTTGCATGTAGTAAGAAAGCAAATATTTTCTGGAGCATTGTTCCTCTTCAGTCTGCCAGGTTATATGGAGAGAGAATCAAAAACAAAATTTTAAATGGGAAGAAGTGGGGTCTGCAAGAGACTATATACTGATATTGGAAATATTATTGTGGATTGGATGTTGAGTCATCATGAACATGAAGATGTTAAGAGATCTTTTAGGTCTATTTTTTTTCCTAATCACAATATTCTCAACGATGATGTATGATGGATTTCCATTATTTATTTTTTCCCCTTTTGGTGCATTCATTTAACATGAAGAGATGAATGTGGTAACTCAAAACTCTTTCTCTATTTTAATAAAATTTGTACTTGGAGGAAACCTAATGAGGTCAGGAGTAATGAGTGTTTTAAGAGTCCATGGTGGAGGACCTTCAATATGAAGCTACTGTTACTTCTCAAGGGGCTGATAATGACCTGTCTCTTGGTTTTGAAGGAAAAGATAAGTTAGAGGGGGACTCTAAGGTGATTATTGACTGGACAAGCAATGGGAGGGGGGAGATCAGTAGTCTCTTATGCATCACACCGAAGAGGCTAGATCCTTTGCTAGTTTGGACATCTTATTCCATCTGAGCCCAAGCCCACCAACTCTATAGCTGGCAGTGATTAAATTACAAATTACCAATATGTGAACAGTAACATGATATTTAAGATATAGGCTTCACTTAACTTCAAAAATAATCAAAAACTACTTTTAAACAACTAGTTGAGTAGCAGAAGAGAGAGAGAGAGAGAGATAAGTGGAGTGGGGAGAGAAGCAAGTAAATGGATGAATTTTGCGATGGTTGTTTTGTTATGAAGTGTTGCTGTTGACAATTCTTATTAATTAGACCACAGGGGCTTTTTTGTCATTGTACCTTAAATTTTATTCAGTCGCCCTGTTATAAATAGAGTGGATGGCACTATCAGCCTCTCTCTCTCTCTCTCTCTCTCTCTCCTTCTTCTTCTTCTTCTTCTTCTTCTTCCTCCTTCCTTTCTCTTCATTCTCTGCTGATAAGATGGTATCAGAGCACAAGTATTGGGCCTGAGGACAGATAGATCAAGTGTTCTTCCTTTCTTTCTGTTTTTCTCCATATTGGGATTCAAGAAACTCATCTGTGATGGGTCTAGGGAGACGTTCTCCTCTGTTTCTCTCTTCCCCTTGGTCATGTGCCAAGAAAAATCTCTAAGACTGAGGTGGCTGAATGCTGTGAGGGGGTTCAGCAGCACTTTTTTTTTTCTTTTGGGATCATGGTGATCAAGTGGCCTAGAGTGGGGCTGGACTGTGCTTGTCAGATCTGTTTAGACTTGAAAACAACTTTGTTTGGTGCTGGAGGTGCTTCACATTGCTGCTATATTTGGCTTAGTAGTGATGCTTGTGTTCAGATTGGAGGGTGGTTCGTGTGGACTGCAGTCCTTGTTTTTCCTTAGTGCTGGCCTGTGTTAAAAGTGGTTCTTGTGTGCCCCCATCAACTGTGTTTTTAGCTGGACAGTGAAATTTATCATATCCTCTGAAGATACTACAATTTCTGGTGTTTCCTCAAATCAACACGGACTGAGTGGGGGGTTGGATATGAATTTCCCTATGGCTGATATTCCCTTAGATGGGACTTAACTACCTCGAGTGGTCTAAGAGAATTAAGCTTTATATTACAGCAAGGGGAAAGATAGGTTATATCAGTGATAAGATAAAGGACCCAAAGTCTGGAAGTGCTGAACATGATAAATGGGACCAAGAGAATAGTATAGTGATGTTGTGGCTTTTAGTTTCTATGCTGCCACGGGTGAAAACTTCATGTGGGCTGATACAACTTACGAAATTTGGGAATAAGCCAAATCTACGTATTCAAAGTAGAGGCACCATATTTATCAAAAAATAAAGCAGAGGCACTATGCAATGATATACCGATTGCAAGCTGAATCGTCCACTTGTAAGCAGGGGGAGAGGAGTCTCTCGGTGTAATTATTACTCAGATTTGACATTGATTTGGAAGTTGGATCATTATCAGAGTGTGGATTGGAAATGTAATGAGGATGCAAAAGCCTACAAGTCTCTTGTCTCCCAACAACGGATATTTGCCTTTTATTTTCAAGCTAGAGATATCAGAGAAGGAGTAGAGGAGAGGAAGAGAGAAGAGAGACAAAAACTGGATTCGAACTTGTAGTTGGCGGCGCCAGCTATTAGCTTATATATTAGGGCGACCCAACTAATAATAAAAAGAAAAGAAATTATAAGAGTGACCCTACGGCACTAAAGAACAGAAAAACACAAATAAAAAGCTTAAGAGAGGTGGTTAACTGATTCCAACACTCCCCCTCAAGTTGGGACATAGATATCAATCATGCCCAACTTGTCACATAAATCATTGTGCCGCAAATGATATAATCCCTTGGTAAAGATGTCTGCAAGTTGATCTGTGGAACTGACATATGGAGTGCACACTTCCCCCATTTATAATTTTCTCCCTAATAAAATGCTTGTCAACCTCAATTTGTTTAGTTCTATCATGGAGCACTGGGTTGGCAGTAATGTTGATAGCAGCTTTGTTATCACAATACAAGGATATAGGGCCATCAACAGGGAATCCCAACTCATTCAACAAGCTCTTTATCCACATAACTTCAGCCACTCCATGGGACATTGCTCTATATTCAGCTTCAGCACTAGACCTTACCACGACATTTGTTTCTTGCTTTTCCATGTGACTAGGTTTCCTCCCACAAAGGTGCAATACCCACTAGTAGACTTTCTATCATCAACTGATCCAACCCAATCAGCATCTGTATGCAGCTCAACTTTCAAGTGACCTTTCTTTTTGAAAAGTAAACCAGCCCCTAGGAACTTCTTCAGGTACCTGAGAATTCTATTGGCTACCTCTAAGTGTGTAGTCTTAGGAGCATGCATGAATTGGCTAAGAACACCCATAGCATAAGCAATGTCTGGCCGTGTTGTTGGTTCGACTGTCTTAATATGTATGTTTATCTTTGTTGGGTCTTAAGTCATTTGTTATTGGGCCTTAGTTATTGGGCCTAATCTTATTTAGTGTTCTATTTGTCTAAGTGTCCCATCACTAACCAGGGGCAGTCTAGTCAACTCATGTAACATTATGTAATACACTTATTTATAATAGAGTAGGGTCAGCTGAGAGATTTTTTTCCGCCATTCTCAAAACTTTCTCTTCTTCTTCTTCTTCTCTTCTCCTTCGGCAGCTGTGTTCCAGCAAACATGGTACCAGAGCCCTAATCTATCACCTGGTTACAACCGCCGCTCCTCTTCTACTCTTATCTAACTCTCTTTCTTTTTTCTTTTCTATCTTAGTTGCTGCAAAGGGACCCTAAGGTTGGTCGTAGAACACAGCAGGACCTACATCTAGGGTTTCCCTTGGTTGTAGGGCCCAAGGGGAGTTTGTCCCAAAAGCTGATGCCCTACTAGACTCATTACAACAGATTGTAGCCATTCGGCTAAGAGAAATCTGTGTGGAACAGATCTAGGTGGGAGGACTGATATCGGCAGTCCTAGAGCTGGTCGTAGGGGTGATTACAATTTGCGACAGCAGAGGCTAAAACACAGAAGAAGTCAGCACAGTGCAGCCGTGTGGTACTCTTGGTTTCAGCTCTGTTACGGATTTCTCAGGACTGAGTTTGCAGTGCAACAGTTTCCGTAAGTCTGAAACAGCTTTCTGTATATTGTGTTTACGTTTTTTATCTTTGCAAGTAGGAGAAGATGTCTTCTATATCCGGGGAAGTGTCTTCTAGAGATGTTAGGACTGGTGGGAGGTCTCCTAATCTGGAGAATCAAAATCTGCACAGCCTGCAGATCACTAATGTGTTGTTGGATGAGTACAACTTCAGAGAATGGTCTGTTTCAGCCATGCTCTTCATCACATCCCGAGAACTCACTGGTTATTTGGACGGGCTGAAGAAGGAACCTGAAGTGGGTAGTGTGGAATATGCAGTTAGGCGTAAGGAGAATGCTACTGTTATGTCCTGGCTACTTGCTTCAATGACTCCAAGAGTAGCTAGGACTGTTCAACATTTCTCCACTGCTGCCAAGATCTGGGAGAAAGTGTCTAAAGCTTATGGGCAGAAAAAAAAACAATGACAGAATTTATAGACTGAATCAAGACATTGCTGCCTTGAGGCAAGGGGATATGACTGTTGCAACATATTTTGCTACCTTAGAAAGACTTTGGGAAGAGCTAGATCATCACCTTATTCTTGATTGGGAGAATGCCAAAGACAAGGAAAGGCATGACAAACAAATTGAAGAGGGCAGAGCATTTAAATTTTTGGCTGGTTTAGATCCGATATATGA